AAAATCCCCATTCCCTCCCCGCTCCAGGGGAAGATACTGCAAAGTCCCCATTCCCTCCCTCCTCCAGGGGAAGGATACTGCAAAATCCCTATTCCTTCCCCACTCCAGGGGAAGGATACTGCAAAGTCCCCATTCCCTCCCCGCTCCAGGGGAAGATACTGCAAAGTCCCCATTCCCTCCCTCCTCCAGGGGAAGGATACTGCAAAGTCCCCATTCCCTCCCCGCTCCAGGGGAAGATACTGCAAAGTCCCCATTCCCTCCCTCCTCCGGGGGAAGGATACTGCAAAATCCCCATTCCCTCCCCACTCCTGGGGGAAGGATACTGCAAAACCGGTTTTCCAGAACCTGCTGAATTTCACCGCTTCTCTCCGCATTTCTTACATGCTAAAGTTGCGAGCACCGGCGTTCTCCAGATTATCCTCTGGCCCCATCACTTTCAGGGAGCGATATTCCTGGCCGTGCTGTTCCACAAAGGAGCTCACCTGGGACAGGTGATGTTCCTCCTGCACGTGACCAGAAGCAAGAGATGTTACCTAGGGGCCAGTCATTCTGGCAAGCAGCCTCATTCACTTTCATGGATTCCTGCCCCCACCACTCTGCGGGCGGGTTCGGAGGAGGAGTGTGAATTTGGGTCTGTACAGGAAAGCGTGGAGGTCAAGATCAGGGCTCAGACAGTGCTAGCATGTGCCAGCCCCTCCATCAGCCGCATCACACGAGGCGGTGTGGGAGTCAGGATCAGCGTCAGGACAACCTGAGAGCTCCGCGGGGGAAGAGGGAATGGAGCTGGCAGAGAGACAGAGGCGGAACCTGGGCTGTCCATCAGCCCTCCGATGGAGAGTCAACAGCCCCCAGGTCTGGAGGTGGATGATGAGGAAGAGGAGGAACAGCTGAGTCCAGTGCCTGACGAGCAGATGCACAGAAGGCAGAGGAGAGGAGAGCAATGGAAATCTATGGGCCGGTCCTTGGGACAGAAGAGCCCAGTGACTCTTCTTGTACTGAACTTGGAATCCAGACCTGCGCAATGGGGCTGCTTCCCAAGGAGGGTGCTTTGAGGGGGTGCTTTGGGGTGGGTGGGTTGAATAAACACCTGTAGAACTCTTGCCGTGCATGTGTGTGTCTGGGGGGAGGGGGGCAGCACATTCCTTGTGTGGGTTATGAACCAAGAGGCAAAGCTGCCAGGAGGAGGGGGCTAAGTGGTGGTGGTGGTGGGGAGAGGCGCCTTCTGAGCCAGATCATCTCGACTCACGTGATTGTGGATGAACAGGTGGATTTTCTTTTTCGGGTAGCGAAGAAGCTGGAGCCTTCTGAAGAACTGGTCGAGGAAAGGGGTGGGCTGCTCAATAAAGACGCCGACCACGGTCAGAGGGAGCGAGTCTTCCTGCAAGCAGGGGAGGGGAAGGGGGCGGGGGGGCGGGGAAAAGAAGATCAGGCTCAAAAATTCACAGAGTTGCCTCTGGGTTATGTTCCTCTTTGGCGAGCTGAAGGTAGTCACTTTATCGCAATAGCGCTTAGACTTATATACCGCTTCACAGGGCTTTTACAGCCCTCTCTAAGCAGTATACAGTCAGCCTCTTGCCGCCCCCCCCCCCCAAAAAAAAACTGGGTCTTCTGGGTTTTACCGACCCTGGAAGGATGAAAGGCTGAGTGAACCTTGAGCTGGTGAAGATCGAACTGCTGGCTGTGGGGCAGAGTTAGCCTGCAAAACTGCATTCTAG